GGGGAAGAACTTAAAACGGGCGAGTGACACGCGGGGTAGGAACATATACCCGAAATTTCAGCCACCTAGCTTTCTGGTTGCTGAGATGAAAATAGCTGACAAAATGCACTCGTTTCTAGACGCACACACACACACACACAGCTTCTCAACAATATGCGTTTTTGTTGGCTGTGGCAGCACAGCAAAGACGCATAAAAAACATGGAAACTTGGGATTCAGTCCGGAAGAAATAGAAAGCAGGCTCCGAAATGGAATGTGTTGAATGTGGTCACTTTCAGTACTGTAGGGATATTTTACAACAAAGCAAATTTGCCGACGGAAATGAAACTTTTTTGGAGAAGTATGTATCTAGGAAAGGTGTAAAATTGGATGCGTAAACCTGGTATGCAAAATTTATGTTACCCCTAAAGATAAAGAATCCATTGTACAACTACCGACCCAAACCAAAGAAGGGGAAGGCATAGCATTGGTTCTGCACCTTGGTTACACTTGAACGCTCGGAACCGATAAGGAAGAAGGCAAATTTTAGTATAGAATAGTAGAGAAGAATTGTCCTTACAGGATCCAAAAGGGAAAGAGGAGAATTCACCATTGCGCCAGTAGATTTCCAAATGCATCGTGAGTTTGATAAAGGTGATACATTCGCTCTGGAACTTTCTTGTCGCCTTCCGTCTGGGCAATTACTGGAGAAGATCCCAAATTGGAAAATATTCCGTCAGGATGTGGTTCCAGTAATTGTTCACGTAAATCTGGCACGCTTTTGTAATGGTGATGCTGATGCTGAGGATTAGAGAAATAATTAAACGAATCAGGCCGTTTTTTTGTGAAACCGCGTCCAGAAAAGTTGCGTGAGGTCACTACTTTTTGAGCTCCACAATTTGCATTCTGATCAATCATTGTATGGGATATTCTGTTGAGGCGTAAGCTTCTTGGAGGCATCTTTTTGATCTGTTTATAACCATCGTTCACTGGTTTTTCATCGAAACTGTTGTCACCGTATCGCTGGTGTTTGGTTGTTACTATTTCATAGGTTTTCTCGGTAGGAGTGATGTTAGTATAAGTTTGGATGCTGGAATCACACTGTCGTGGAGATCGCTGAGGTTTCGCTCTGAAAAAAAGGAATTTTGAACAGATTGGTGCCTCCTAAAGTTTAACGTAGCTCGAGGCAAAAATTTTGTAATCAACAACTGAATGCCCGTTATCAATTTTTTTTTTGCTTCTAAATTTCTCCTCTCTAAAAAAAACCCCAGGAAAAATCAGATCTGCTGCTATTATGCGTTTTTGCGATAAATGGTTGTTCACTTGATTGCCTAATGATTTTTCAATGCGTTTTTGCATACATGTAAATTACAAAAACGTATACTGAAAAGAGGCTGCATGTATGTGTGTGTTTGCGCGTTCGCACTTTTTGTCATTCACTTTCAACTCGAGAACCAGAAAAGCTAGAAGGCTGAAACTTTAACAGTATGTGCCCATACCATGCGCGACTCTCCCTTTCTAATATCTTCCCCCGCGGACGCCTGGGTGCTGCGTAAGGATGCTTTAAAAAAATATGCAAATTTTTTAGCGGAAAAGAATCGGGAACTAGACAAGGTAAGAAACTGAGAGTTTGTAGGGATATTCCTGCGCAGGCATTAGCCAAAGATTTCAAACTCAGCCTCAAGTATGTGTGGTACTCACGTAAGGGTGCATGAAAATTTTGGCGGAAGAATTGCTAACTCGGGTACCAGGAAAGCTAGAAAGCTGGAATTTTGGAGGAATGCCCCTCGTCCAAATATAACTTAAATATTTCAAATCCAGCCCTCAGGTATGCGTGGTTCTGACGTACGGACAGCTGAAATATTTGGTGGGAGAACTGTTAACTCGGCAACCAGAAAAGCTGCAAGGCTGAAATTTAGAGCGGATTTTTCCTGTTAGCGTGCAATTTGAAAAATTTCAAATTCAGCTTCTCAAGCACGTGAATGTTTTGGGCATGTGAGTATTTTGGCGTGAAAATTGCTGGAACCAGAAAAGCTGGAAAGCTGAAATTTTGTGGGAATGTTCCCTGTCCAAATACAACTCAAATTTTTCAAAATCATCCCCAGCTATGGGTGGTACTCACCTAAGAGCGTATGAAAGTTTCTGCAAGATAATTAGTAACTCAGGAACCAGAAAAGCTAGAAAACTGAAATTTTAAGGCAATGTTCCCTGTCCAACTACAACTTAAGTGTTTCGAATTCAGCCTTGAGGTATGCGTGGTTGTTACGTGCGGGTATTTAAAGTTTTGGCGGAAAAATTTCCCACTGAACGGCTAGGTTGCTTTTAAAGAACGACCGTTAAATGGAAATTGTACATTTACTTTATGCAAAATGTATGGTAATATATGCTAGTGACCGCAAAAGGTAGGTGCAAAGCGTCAACCATTCATGCTGATAATAACCTGAGTGCTTCAAATTTGGTGCAATAACGCATGAGCACACGGGCCCTACCGATGCATCCCAGCCTGAGCATTACTGTTACAGAAGAGTAGAATTTTTGAATTTGTACTGCGAAATTGTTTGGTCTTTCTAGCTTAGTTAGGATAAGGTCAAAAATCATAGTACAAAAAACTCGCACTTTTTGTTTGTCAGGCTGGACAGTTAAATCAATAGCGGTACGGATCAGCGGGTGGAATCATGTGTTTTGTGCAGTTCTGCCCGACAGGCGGATGCTGTTAAAAATATTCTTTGCTTTTCAGTTTGTCAACGTCGAAATCCCATGTATCCGTGAATGGAACGTGGGCGTTCACGAGAACTAGATTTGACATTGTTGTTTCGCACATGAACAGGAAACATCCCTTAACAATTTTAGCTTTCCGTTTTGTCCAGTTCCCAAACTAACCCAGGCTGGAACGCACTAGGCGGGCCGGTGCGATTATGCGTTTTTGCACTTTTCGTACCGCAGCAAGATCGCAAGGAGTCAAT